AAGGAGCGGCGGGAGCTGAAGCAGGCGCAGCTGCGGGAGGCCGACATGGACTCCATCCCCACGGGCCTCCACAAGCACTGGGTCGACCCCTGCCTGATGCTCAGGGTAGGCAGATCACGGCCAAGCTGTGGGTGATCAGTATGATGCCCAGCCACGTCCCCAAGTGGAAGAGGCACGCGTTCGGGGGCCACCAGGTGTCGTTCGGCAAGAAGACACAGCTGTCCATCCTGGAGCAGCGGGAGGGCCTGCCCATATACAGGCTGAAGGGGCAGCTGCTGCAGGCCTTCCATGACACCAAGGTCCTCATCATCATCAGGGAGACCGGGTCCGGGAAGACAGGCAGATCACCCTGTATCTGGCCGAGGCCACCTACGCGAGCCCAGGCAAGATCAGCTGAAGCCAGCCCAGGCACGGGGCCATCATGTCTGTGGCCAAGAGGGTGGCGGAGGAGTTCAGCTGCTGCTTGGGTCAAGAGGTGGGCTACATCATCCACTTCGAAGACTGTAGTGGCCCGCAGACCTGCATCCAGTACATGATGGACGGCATGCTGCTGTGCGAGTGCCTGGCGGACCCCGACCTGATGCAGTACGCCGTCATCATGTTGGACGAGGCCCACAAGAGGACCATCCACACTGACGTGCTGTGCGGCCTGCTGAAGGAGACCGTGCAGAAGCAGCGGGACATGAAGCTGATCGTAACCTCGGCCACACTGGACGTGGTAAAGTTCTCCCAGTACTTCTCAGAGGCCCCCATCTTCCCCGTGCCAGGCTGCACGTGCCCTGTGGAGATCCTGTATGCCAAGGAGCCCGAGACCGACTACCTGGGCGCCAGCCTGATCACCGCCATGCAGATCCACCTCACTGAGGCACCGGGTGACATCCTGGTCTTCCTGACCAGGCAGGAGGAGATCGACATGGCCTGAAAGATCCTGTATGAGAGGATGAAGTCCCTGGGCACCGACGTCCCTGAGCAGATCATCCTGCCTGTGTACTCTGCCCTGCCCAGCGCCATGCAGACCCAGATCTTGGACCCAGCCCCGTGGGTCAGCAGGAATGTTGTGATGGCCACCAACATCACGGAGACCTCATTGACCATCGCCGGCATCTACAACATGGTGGACCCCGGGTTTCTGAAGCAAATGGTCTACGACTACAAGATGGGTATGGACCAGCTGGTGGTGACGCCCATCTCGCAGGCCCAGGAGAAGCAGCGCGCAGGCAGGGCCGGCTGCAAGGGCCCCGGCAGGTACTACCAGCTGTACACGGAGCACGCCTGCCATGACGAGATGCTCGCCTCCAATGTGCCCGAGATCCAGAGGACTGACCTGGCCAGCACCGTGCTGTCCCTCACGGCCATGAGCGTCAACGACCTGCTGTCCTTCGACTTCATGGATGCCCCACCAGTGGAGACCCTGCTCACGGCCATGGACCAGCTCTACGCGCTGAGGGCCCTGGACGACAAGGGCCTGCTCACCCGCCTCGGCCGCAGGATGGCGCAGTTCCCGCTGGAACCCATGCTGTGCAAGATGCTCATCATGTCGGTGCGCCTGGGCTGCAGCGAGGAGATGCTGACCATCGTGTCCATGCTGTCCGTGCAGAGCGTCTTCTACAGGCCCAAGGACAAACAAGCCCTCGCCGACCAGAAGAAGGCCAAGTTCCACCAGGCCCAGGGCGACCACCTCACGCTGCTGGCGGTGTACAACTCCTGGGAGAACAACGGGTTCTCCCAGGCCTGGTGCTACGACCACTTCCTCCAGGCCCGCTCCCTGCGCCGCGCGCGGGACGTCCGCAAGCAGATGCTGGGCATCATGGACAGGCACAAGCTGGACGTGGTGTCCTGCGGCGAGGCCACGGTGCGCGTGCAGAAGGCCATCTGCAGTGGCTTCTTCCGCAACGCGGCCAGGAAGGACCCGCAGGAGGGCTACCGCACGCTCCTCGGCCAGCGGGGCGTCTACCTCCACCCCTCAGGCGCCCTCTTCCACCGGCAGCCCGAGTGGGTGGTGTACCACGAGCTGGTGCTGACCACCAAGGAGTACATGCGCGAGGTCACCACCGTCGACCCGCGCTGGCTGGCGGAGTTGGCGCCCGCCTTCTTCAAGGTCTCGGACCCCGCCAAGCTCAGCCAGCAGAAGCAGCGGCAGCGCCTGGAGCCCCTGTACAACCGCTACGAGGAGCCTGA